CTTTTGGTCAAACATTTAAAGAACTTACCTCCAAAATAATGGCTGGAACTTGGAATTTCTAGCTTGGTTCCCCCATCCTCTCCAAGCTTTGTTGTGAATTAGATAAGGTTTGATATAAAAGATCATTTTGTTTTTGCTTTTGTCTTTTTTTTCTTTGCTGAATACATGTATTTTTTCTTCTAACAGTCTTATTGGTATGTAGTTTACGTATCAGGCAATTCAATAGTTCAATCGTTCAATCATATCAAGGAGAATTGAATAATCATTACTACATTAATTTTAGAACAATCCATCCCCCCATGGTTATATTGCCTTTTAATGAGTTGTGCAATCACAAGCCATTCTGATGCTCCCTCCTCCCTCTCGCCTTCACTATTTACTCCCCAAATCCCCTTACCCTCCCTATCATCCACTCCCCACCCCTGTATTCCCTATATCCACTTGTATCAGTTATTATCATTATGCATCCATGCCTCCTGTGGAGACCCAAGAGGAAACAATAAAAAACAAAATCGGGCTAAGGTGGTAAGGATAAAGTCATAGTAGTACAAAGACAAAACTACAAATAATGGGTAAGAAGGAGAAGACCATCAACATTCAAAAACCCAGGAAAGAAATTCCTGTCGTGGAACCTGTAAGAGACACTTGCACCCAGAACAGATTCAGACTACATCTGTAGGGTGGTCGATTGGCCAAGTATCAAGTTCTATCCAGCGTCATCAGATTACAATGGTCTCTGCCTGATGGTAAGGCTGTTCGCTGTTCCAGACTCTTGCCTGTGGCTAGTGCAGACCTGCCTGCAGCTCAGTCTGACCAGATACTCTGCAGAAGGGTTTTGAGCTCCTACATTCATAATTTTTGCTCTGATGCTTCTCTCCTCACCATCTTCGAATTTTGTTATTGTCATCTTTGGGTAACACAAACTAGTGTGCTTCTTCCATGTGGACTGTTAACTCCTTGCTTAGATGGCCGCTTGTTTGAATACAAGCCTTTAAGACCCCAGACACTATTCCAATTGATAGCCAGGCACCATCTGCTTTCTTCACCACACTTTGCTGTAGCACCCATATCGTCTGTGATCATTTTATGAAGGTGAGTATCATGCAGGACCATGATGCTTTAAGAACTGATTGTTAAGTTGGGGCAAGGATTTGGTGTGAGCTCAAAACTCATTCCTGGATCTGATTTTTTGTTTTATTTTAATTTGCTGTACCTTGGGAGTTAACACATGCCATATCACTCCATAGTTTAATCATGTCAAACATAATTGTACAATTGCTTCCATAATCAGTCTCCAAACATACTTTTCCTTCCTGGACTTCCTGAAATCATCTCCCCCAACCTCCTATATCCCCCTTCCTCTGAAACCCTTGTTATATTTTCTTTCCCTATAGACTCAACGTCCCTGGGTTTCATTTAGCTAAAAAGAAATAACACAGCTTCAAGAGAGTGAGCCCCGAGAGGGGTGGACACAGCTCTGAGATACACCCTAATAGGAACAAGCATAAGCTGAATATCACAGACTGGCCACTGCAGGATTGCCGGAATAATATGAATCTTGACAGCATCTAGGGCATAGATGCAGAAATACCTTGTTTGTTCACCAACAGCCCACCGCTCTTAGCACAATAGTCTTCTGCTTCCTCAGACACCATGTGTCTTCCGAGTTAAGTTACAAGTGTCTCTGGAGTTCACCCAGTTGAGTTCCCATATGGGGCCTCCCTGATACAGCCTCTGGAGCATGACACGCACCCTGAAGATCCAGCACTCCACGGCAGCTGGCCTGGGTTCCCAGGATACCCCCAGATACTGTGGGTCAATGCTGCCCTCAGGCTTCACGCCACTGAAGACCCTCGCCAACTAATGACCCTAAGAGCATCCTCAGTATCTCTTCCCTAGACCTGGCGGTCAGCCCTCCCTCCCCTCAATAGACATGCACTTACACGTTTGCCCAAGCTTGACCATTCCCTCTTCCCTCCTGTGTTGCCCCTCCCATCAGCAAGCCTCATCTCTCTGTCGCTGCCTTCCACTCCGGGGGCACTTCATCCCAGACCCACATGGCTATCACTCATAGCCCATACCCCAACTCCCCCTGCTCTCTCCCCACCATTTGATCCCAGCTGTCGTGAGGTGTCCCCAGCCAAGGGACCTACACTATACTTAACTGGAGTGGATGATGTGTGGTTCATTGGCACTGGGCCGGCTCTTTACCAGGCTGGCCGGTGCCCAGCCCGAAGGCTGGATGCCCTACAGCTTGAGCTTGTGCCCATTCTGCTGCTCGTTCCTACCACGGTGGACTCACACGAACTTCACTAACTTCATTCAGCACAATGTCCTCCAGATCCATCCACAACTTGAGGTGTTTCATTGCTATTTTTTTAGGGATGTGTGGTATTCCATTGTGTTTATGTACCAGTTTTTTTCACTTTTCTATTGATGGGAATTTAAGCTGTTTTCAATTTCTTGCTGTTGTGAACTACGTTGCGATGAACATGGGAGAGGTAACGTCTGCTCATGATTTGCTTCTTATTTCGCTGGGGTCTATGTCTGGTAATGGTATTGTTGGAGCATATGGTAGTCCAATTGCCCTCGGTTTTAGGTACTGCCATACTGCCTTCCACAGTGGCTGTTCTCAATACAAAGATCATTTTTGTTGTATTCACCATCTGAAACAACTTATCAGCCTCCCAGTGGCTTGCCCTGTTCCCCCATCTAGCTTGGCTCCCCCGCCCTCCCCAAACCTTATGTGAAATAGATATGGTTTTACATAAAAGGTCATTGTTTTTGTTGCAATCGCCATTTGACACAACTTTATCAAACTCCCAATGGCTTGCCCTGTTCCCCATATCTTTCTCGCCCACATCCCGTCTTCCCTTTTCACCATGGTAACACCTGTCTACCCTCTAGCCAGGGATGGGGAACGTTTTTTTCTGCCAAGGGCCCTAACACCCTTAGCAGGCCATAAAGAACATTAGCCTGCTATATGTGGCCAAACATGGACAGAACAATGTTTGTTTCCAGCCTCTAAAACAATGGCTGGAACTGCTTTTCTTTAGCGAGGTGTTATTAGCTGGTATTGACGACTTTGTGGGCCTTCTAAGACCTGTGGGCCGGGCTGTTCCCCACCCCTATCTAGCCTATTGTTTCCCTTCTCTCCTACCCCTCATGACCTTCAAGGGCTGTTTCTTTCGGTATAAAGACCTTTTCTTCTTCTTTTACTTTTTTAAGTAACAGCGGTCTCACACAGTATCTGCCATCCTGTGTTTAACTTTATTCAGTACAATGCCCTCCCTATCTATCCACGCTAATGTCATGTGGTCCAATCGCTCTGCACCCTGGCTAGCATTGGTTTTCCAGCAGGGTTCTTTCATGCATTCTTTTCACAACACAGACTGGGGCGTTTCCTCAAATAGGCCCCATTAGCACTTCCAAGTCTCTACATCGCAACTAAACTCACAATCTGCCCTACGACTATTTTCCTGATCTCTGCCTTATAGGAACCAGCCTTGGACTGCTGATCTTAATCCTCCTAGTTTGATTAACTAGAGGTCGGATACCGCTGCCATGTCATTTCCTGTCACCCACTTTGGGTATTTCTGCTACAGCATCACGAGATAACCAAGACTTCCCTTAGGATAAATTCCTGGAAGTGAAAACTGCTGGGTCACAGAATACGTCCAGTCATAAGGCCTTGATGTATCTAGATTGTCCTCCAAAAGGAATATATAATTTATATTTCCATCAGCGTTGAGATTGGTATATTTGAGAGACAGGAGGAAGTAATTTAGGAAATACTGCTTGCTGGAAAAGATACTATTTATGCAGTAAATATTTATTGGATGGCTACTATTTGCCCCATCCTATGATAGGTGCTGGTTATACAGTGATGGCCAAGAATTCTTTTGTTTCTCTTGGTTCTTCCTTCTCCAACAATGACAATTTTGGGAAAAGACTTAACTTTGTATATTAATCAAGGAAACATCACGTGGTATGTTATATCCATGAAACCATAGTGAGCATTCAGAGGACAATGGAGTTGTCCCACGGTCTCCTTTCTGTGCGCATCCTTAGAGAAGCCCGAGAATGTTGTGTCCTGGGCTCTCTTACCAGCAGGGAGGTGATAAGGGTTGTCTTTTGGAGGTACTTGGGAGAGACTAAAAGGCAGGATGGAGGCAGAAGGCACTATGTTCCAAGGACCTGACAGGTTCATGAGGTGGCCACAGGGCAGTGAAGGGGCAGAGGGACACAGAGCCCCGTGAGGGTAGTGGTAGCAGCGGTGGTGGCAACAGCCAGCCCCGTTCATGGGAAAGTCAGAGGTTGCAGGGAACGGCCTGCTGATGGTTGCCTTGAGTTGATGTCAACTGATGATGCTTCCGTGTGTGCACAGCAAAACTGCTCCATAGAAGGCATGACCCTTTGGACTGTTTCTTGAGGCTCTTCTAGGTGACCTCAAACCTTTTAGGTTAGTAGGTGGCTAGAGGACTTACCTGGTTATGCCACGTGGGGACACTCATGAAACAAACAGGCCCGTCAGGGCTTCAGCAGCTTTCCCACATTTCTGGATCTCTGGGTAATTCACCCTCCCCATGTCTTCCTCCATCCTACCCTATTTTATGAGGGGGTGTAAAAAACTTGAGGGAAAACAGAAGGAAAAGATTACAGAAATCTTTCACAAAATTTCTGAGCCCCTTTGTGTACGCCACTTGCAGTTAAGTGCCATCGAGTCAGTTCCGACCCATAGTGACCCCACACACAATAGAGTGAAACATCTTTACAAGTGTTCATACCCTTGAGCTCACGGTGGCAGCCACAGTCAGTGGCAATCCACACACTCACTGTTGCAGCCAAGGTGTGGAGCCACACACCCGTGTTAAACTCCTGTATAAGCGATCCAGTGTTCCTCCGCCCCTCAAACGCCCTACTAGCCCAGTGATGAAAACACCTGCAAACCGGTTGGCTATGAGACCGACACACGATTTTCCAGTTAAAACGAACAGCCATTCCAGTTTCAGAAGGAAAAGTGTTTATATGACAAAATGTTTATATAACAAAATGCTTATATAAAAGGAAAAAACATAAGAGACATTTTTCTATGAACAGTAGATTCGTGATTTTTTTTTCTTTTTCTTTTGAACTAAATCAAATGGATTTAGTTCAGACTTGCTTTGGGAGAACATCTTGTATAAAACATATGCTGTCTCTAAAGGCTGGGCTCCACTCAAGACAATAAGCAGCCCACATACGAGAGGTAAACACACCCGAGACTAGTCTGAGCAGCCAGCCGAGTCCCGATTCTGTCCACATGCTTATAGGCCCTGAAAATGTACACATAAGCAACTTAGGAGGAAAAACAAAATGCAAGATGACATGTTTTATTAACATTTCAGATCTTCTCATTTTTGCCGAGAACATGTACGAAATGTTCAATGTTCAGAACACCTGACGCTCCATCCAGCAAGTGTGCGGAAAGCAGAAATCCTGTCCGATGCTCTTCGTTCTTTGCACACCGATGCAAACCGTAGTACGAATGCATTGGCAAAGTGTAATGTTCCAGCATAGGAAGTCTTCTTTTCATGGAGCCTCACTGTGCATTCTTTAGCAAACATCAATATGGAGCAGCATGTGCAGTAATACACGTACAGAATTATTACCCAACTAGGAAACCCGGGCAAGGGAAAGGTAAGCCCTGCTTAACTTCCCTCGTTGACGTCTTCTCCCTCGCTCTCGTCCTCGCTGTAAAAGATGTCTCGAAACCGGAAAACCTGCTTTGGTGTCGCAGGAGCCCGGAGTTCAGCGCCTTCTTTCTCCAGCTTCTTGTCTAGCCGTTCTTTAAACACAGGCAGGCTAGTCTCATAAAGGTAGTCTATAATCTCTAGAGAAAAGAAATTTAATTTCAAAATTACCTTTTTGTACAAAGCCTCCTATCATGGATGAAGGATAATAGGATTATGCGGCGATTGTAATTACACTAGGCAAGGCTCTTGTCTATGAGGGTGACTGATATGGACTCATTAAACCTTATTTAAAAAGATCCTCTAAGGCATGCATGCGCTATTTTAAACCCAGGTTTTAAATGAGGAAGTCAGTGCATAAAGATATTGAGAGAGCTGCCCAAGTGGTGGAGGCAGAAGTCAAACCAGGTATCGATGTCTACAGAACACCTAGCACGTTTTCCCACATAGTTCACTGAGACCCTACATGGCAGACTTTAAAGCCTCATCTTTCTTAGAGGTGGGTGGGATCAAACCGCGGACCTTATGGGCAGCTGTTCAACTCGTAGCCTGCCACCAGGACTCCTATTTCCAGGATAAAATCATCCAAACCAGCAGTTCCTGAGCACCGGTATGGGGCAGATTATAGGAGACTCACCTGTAGGGTCATTAATAAGGAGCATCTAGACGGGAGACCCCTATCCCTGGAGTTTAGGATTCTTAGGGTATAGGATGAGGCCCAGGAATCCCTCTGTTTAACAGGGGCCTCACAGAACCCCGAGGAGCCAATTATGGTAAATACACACCTTAACTACCCACTACCCACAAATGGCTACCAAGGGGGCATGAGTGTCTTACAGTCTTTCTGGAAAAGGGCAGGGGAGGTGGGGTTCTAGCAGGAGCACTGTGCTAAGCAGGGAACAGTCCGTGTCACCTGATCTAATCCTTCGGGAAATCTGACCAGGTAGGGATCATTTTATAACTTCCACCATTTTGTGATGGAGACGACGACGGAGGCTCCCGGAGGTTACAACACTTGAGTCAGGCGCACCTTCTCTGTGCTATCTCCACCCTTCCAACAGCACCGATACTGACCTGGAAATGTTTTGTTCTGCCAAGAGGGAACGCAGGTCGTTTTTAACTTGTGAAATTTACTTCGCACGTAAGATGGAGGAACGTCACTTGAGAAAGGAAGACAAACAAACAAAAGACAGGGCACTTTACAAATGCAGCATCTCCATTCCGTGTGCTAATACATTCATTACACGTGAGACAGAGTCCACAGAGCTTAGTAACTTTCCTACCTCGAACACGAAATCATCATGTCCACAACGATGCAACAAAAAAAGAAGATGCGCATGAAAAGCTCTTTGTTCAATTAGTCAAGAGAGAGAGAAGGGACATAATTCAGACCATACGTGGCTTTTATTTAACGTATTTGTCAGGAAGACAGCATATAATAATAGCTACCATGAGGGGCAGCAAGCAAGAGGAAGGCAGCACAGGGAAGGCCTTTGACAAGATGGGTTGGCACGGTGGCTGCAACGACGGCTCAACCCTAAGAACAATGGTAGAGACGGCGCAGGCCTGGGTGACGCTTCCCGCTGTTGGCACAGGGTCACCAGCAGTGGGAACCCACTCGATGGCACCTGACAACACGATGCTACGATGCCTGCGTCTCTGTCCTCAGAAACTCGTAATCCCATGAAGTAGCTCCTGCTAACAACCGTGATTGTGGAGCTGGGAAACAGAGGCACGGAGAAGGCCGCACAGCTCACAAAGGAGTTCTAGGCGCCCTGGTGGTGTGGTAGTGACACACCGGGCACCTTGGCCTCAAGGCGAGCAGGTGAAACTACAGGCCCTCCACTGGAGAGAGACCAGGCTTTCTGCAGCGGGTCCTGGAAACTCACAGGGGCGGTTCTACCCTGTCTGATCGGGTGGCTGTGTGTCAGCATCAACTCGATGATGGTGTCTCGTTGTTGTTTCCTGAGCGGAATGATGGCTAAGTCCTTGACTGCGACCCGGAAGGTTAGTAGCAGGAATTCGCCCAGCAACTCTGCTGGAGGACGAGCCGAGTGTCTGCCCTCAGGGAGCCCCTACGCGGCAGTGCCACTCTGCCACGCAGACAGCTGTTGAGGTGGATCGATGGCACAAGTCAAAGGCAGACGTACTTTTTATTTTGCCAAGCTGAAGAAAGCAGATGCTTATTGTGCTGTGGAGAAGTGAGTACATTTTCAATTTACAGCCATAATTTACAGACACCAACTGTGATGGTTAGATAGTTATGTCGGCTTGTACCTGGATGAAAACGTAGGGGTGAAGCCCAACCTATCAATCAGGTCACAGCATGACAGGAAGAGGAGACATTGGAAACCCCCCTCTCTCTCTTCCTTCATTTTCCTGCTTGCTTGGATTCGGAGTCTGCCCCCAGAGAGTTGTCTGCCTCCTGGGAGCAGTTGGCACCCTGCCACCATCCACCCGACTCTGCACCCCCTGGCCTGTGATCTCCCTGCTTCCCACCTCACCTTCTGCTTTATCAGCCCGCAGCTGCGTGAGCCTGAAGAGGGTGGTCTAGTTACCATTGGACCCATGGACTTGAGTTCTACTGGGCTGAGGTATCTTCTTGCTATAAAGTTCTTTCTTACACACGAGAGTCATTGATTTGGTTTCCCTAAACAAAACAACACGGCCTAACCCACCACCAAACCATAAGTTGTTTTAAAAGCAAAAATGAATAAGTTCCTGGACACCATTAACCATAAAAACGTGACATCTTTTTTTCAGTACTCAATCAGCTGTTAAAATGGTTATCTTCAAAGAACAATCCGTTATAGTGGTGCAAAGAGCTAAGTGTTTGACAGCCAACTGAAAGGCTGGTGGTTCAAATCCACCTAGCCACTCAGCAGGAGAAAGCTCACAGCCAAGAAAACCCTATGAGGCAGTTTTATTCAGTCACAAAAGGCCGCTGTGAATTGAAATCAACTTGATGTCGCCAAACAAAAATGTGGCAATAAAAGATCCTCCGACTCCTTGATCCTAACAACAACTAACTGCGCGTGTTCTGCATCCCAGGGACCAGGTTGAAAATACTGCATGCATTGTCTCTGACCTCATGGAGGAGCAGCGACCTGCCCAGGGATGGCTACCTAGTCAGCCGAGTGGCAGGACGCAATGCCAGGCCTGTGCGACTTCCCACAAGGCCAACGTGATAGCTGCAGACACAAGCACAGGCTGTAAGAAAAACATGGAATTGAAAACTCGTTAGGTGTTATATCTGATTTAGTGGAAAAACGGTCTTTAAATCTTGCCTAAGTCCATTCTGTGATGCTCACCTTCCCGAAATGATCACTGAAGACAAATGGGTGTATGGGAAAGTGTGGTGAAGAAAGCAGATAGTGCCTGGCGATCAAAAGATATAATGTCTGGGGGCTTAAAGGCTTGAAGATAAACAAGCGGCCATCGAGCTGAGACGCAACAAAGCCCACATGGAAGAAGCACACCAGCCTGTGTGATCATGAGGTGTTGATGGGATCAGGTATCAGGCATCTAAGACTCAGAATAAAACCATACCCAAGGTGAATGGGGTGGGAGGGGTGATGGAGTGGAGACCCAATGCCCATCTGTAGGCAATTGGACATCCCCTCACAGAGG